GTCTATGCTGAGATCAAGTTTGCCAGGAGGTTTAAGATATAGATTCAGGGGAGAGGACCCCTCAACACCAAACCCCACATTTCCCTGCCTCTCCCCACAACATAAACACAAACTCCCATCTTCCTTTACCTGGAAAATCTGGCTCCTTTCTCTAAATGTGAAGTCAATGCTAAGCTGAGGATATTGAGGAAGAGGAGGAAAGAGGAAGTTAGGGGAGAAGCTGCACAAACTTGCTCATGTAAGAGATAAGACCACCTTACTATCTATAACAATTTTCTGCCTTTTTTTGACCTTCCTCCAGACTTGGTGCTGGTGGATTCCATCATTGATGCACATATTGGGCCCTTCCACACATATTCAGGCCAAGTAGAGCCAGTAAAATACTGGATTGTTTTGTAGTTCCAAACAGGTAGCCCAGGATCGGTCACAGTCAGGTCCTGACATTGGCTTAACCAGAGTTCCTCCCAATAGGTCCCAGAGATAACACACCTGGTTGTGAGCTTTAGAACATATCAGAGCATGACCCAATGATTTCACAAGCAATACACCCAGAGGGAGATCTTGGTAGGCACCCGACCCTGATGGGGAAATTCTGCTTTATTGGGTCAGACCCTTCATAGCAGCTTTACACTGTGGTTGATGTTTATCCTCATAGTCAGCCAGCATGAGGGTCAATTCCACCCATGGATGGGCCAACAGCAATCAAGACTCAACTACAATAAGACGACTCACTTATTCCACACATGGAACATTCCTGGGACACCTAGCTCAAGTGATCAGGGAGACTGTGCCACTGAACCACACAGGATACCAACTATGTAAGATCAGCATACCAAGACTGGGAGACAGCAGAACTACTAAATACACAGACACAAATATAGAGAGGCAGCCAAATGGGGAGACAAAGAAACAAGCTCCAAACAAAAGACCGGGAGAAATCACTGGAAAAAGAATAAATGAAATGGAGGCAAGCCATTTACCTGATACAAAGTTCAAAACAATGGTTATAAGGATGATCACAGAACTTAGTGAGAACTTAAATGGAGATATAGCAAGCATAAAAAAGATATAGAAACCATATATAAGAACCACTCAGAAATGAAGGATACAATATCTATAATGAAGAATACACTAGAAGGATCAACAGGAGATTTGGTGAAGCAAATAATCAAATCAGTGATTTAGAAGGCAAGGTAGCAGAAAACATCCAATCAAGGCAGCAAAAAGAAGAAATAATTTTTAAAAGTGAGAATAATTTGAGGTATTTCTGTAACATTATAAAGCATAAAAACATTCCCATCATAAGGATACCAGAAGGAGAAAAGAGAAAGAGATTGTTAACCTATTTTTAAAAATAATGACTGAAATCTTTCCTAATCTGGTGAAGAAAAAGACACACAAGTCCAGGAAGTGCAGAGAGTCCTTAACAAAATGAACCCAAAAAGGACTACACCATTGTGCATGATCATTTAAATGGCAAAGCATAGAAACAAAAAGTGAATCTTAAAAATAACAACAGAAAGACAGTTACTTATAAGGAAGTTCTCATAACACTGCCAGTTAATTTCTCAATAGAAACTTTCAAGGCCCGAAGAAATTGGTGTGAAATATGCAAAGTCATGAAAAGTAAGGACCTAAAAGCAAGATTACACCACCTAGAAAGTTCATAATTTAAGATTGATGGAGAGATAAAAGGCTTACCAGGGAAGAAAAAGCTTAAGGAGTTCATCACCACCAAACCAGTATTACAAGAAATTTTTAAGGAACTTCTCTAAGAAGAAGTAACAATTTTTTAAAAGCAACATAGGTATAAATTTTTAAAATGTCAATAAATAAATACTTATCAATAATTAATGTAAATGGATTAAATGCTCCAATCAAAGGGCATAAGGTAGCTGAATAGATAAGAAAACAAGACAGATATATATGCTGTATACAAGACACTCCCCACAGAATGAAGGACACACAGACTGAAAATGAAGAGATGGAAAAGATATTTCATGAAAATTAAAATTTAAAAAAGAAGCTGAAGTAGCATACCTATATCAGACAAGATATAATTTTTGAATCTGTTGACCGCCTTGGATGCCCAGTGACTCCCAGTATCTTCCAGGTCTCGCTTTTGCTTATCAATGTGCACTTGAACTTTGGACAGGTAGCACCTGTAATCTTCTGGGGTGCCGTCCCCGCTTCTCTGGAACATCTCTGCATCGTGGAAGAGGTCGTTTGTGTAGAATTTACTCTGGTTATCACTCTCCAACTTCTTGACCACAGCCATCAGCTCCTCCAGCTGCTCCCTCTGCTCCTCCCCAGTAGCCTGGTTGTTGAGGCCACAGTACCTCTTCCCACACTCCTGGACCAGGATCTGCAGGCTGTGGTTGTCCGTTTTGGCTACATAGTCATCCAAGGACCCGTCTCCTAAGTCCTCCTTGTGGGTGAAGAGGACCACCACATATCTCATGCCTTCTGCCCCAAAGACCTCCTTCACTTTCCTCACTGCCACCATGTCCTGGGCAGTGAAGTGCCCCAGCTGTGTCACCAGCAGAAGCACATGGGGCCCTGGGGCTGAGAGCAGGTAGCAGTCCCAGATGTCCTTGTACATCTCTTGGTCCTGGGCCTTGGCTTCAAAGATGGAGGGTGTGTCAACCACCTGGATGTTCCTTCCATTCCACGTGCCTGTGGCCATCTGGCACTTCCTGGTCACAGCCTGGGCCGCCAGCCTGGACTCAAACACAGATTGACAGAGTATGCTGTTCCCAGTGGCACTTTTTCCGCAACCAGATTTCCCCACCAGGATGACCCTCAGTGACTGGTTATCTTCTACACTGCCTGAAAAGAAAAAAAATGTGTGTCTTATTAAGCTAGTGCTGCTCCCAATTTTTAAGTCTTGGACCCTCATGGGATCTCATTAAAGCAGTGGACCTCCCTCCCAGGAAACTGTCATACCTAAATACATACAAAAGTTTCCAACAACTTTAGGAGTTTCTCCATTCATAGGAAGTCTACATAGAAAGCCCACATTGGACCCATAGCCAACAGTATGAACTGCTATACTGAGGAGGTTGCTCCAAGTCGTTCTCAAGACCAAGGAAGATAGTTTTACTGAAACAAAAGTGGTCCCTGTGTTTCTGCAGGGATGGTGCCTGGCCCATTTCATGTTAAATAAATGTGAGTTTAGAAGGATGCAAAGGATGAGAGGTCACACATGGGAAAATATTACCACCTCTTTTCACTCACAAATAACCAGGAACACTTGTGTAGAAGTGCTCAACATATTCACCTAAACCTTGGGAGAAAAGGAAGTGTCAGCTGTGACCTTCCACCAAGGACCAGCTGAGGTCCCTGGGTCTCTGTTCTTTGGTTGGGGAGTTCTCTGCTTGAAGTTGAAACAACAGAATGGTCATAGTTAATGTCAAAGGCAAAGCTTGAGAGATGACTTATGATGGGTGGCTGAAAAGGATGGAATTTAAGACTATTAGTAGTACATGTGATGGAAATTCTCCTACTTGGCTGATTGAATTACAGGAAGTTAACAAAAGTGGTGTTGAAGAGGGCAACATTGAGCTAGGAGCTAAAACCTTCAAGGGACCAAGAAGGGTAAGAGTTCTAGAGTTCTTATGAGCCCAAATGGATTCCAAGTTCATTGCAGTGTCCTAAAATGTATTATTTTCTTTCTTCTACTCTGTGTTGATTCTTCCTTTTCTGCAGTGTTCTGGGATGTTTTGTAGTCTGCATGATTAGCAAATCTTTCTGGAAGACATTTCCATTTTCTGCTCAAACTGGACAAGGAAAAATTCAGTTCAAAACCCTACAACTTCTGACTTGAAGTTTCATTTCCACATTTCCCACCATCATGTGCAAGGAGAGCATTGTACTGAAGGGGTCGGGTGGAGGTGGGGGTGAAGGTGGTGGGAAAGGTAAAGAAGAAATGAGCACTGACTTTTTCTTCTTCAGTGTAAAATCACTGGGTTTCTGTAACTGTGTTTGAGGTGAGGAAATGGTGCCTCTTGAGAACTTGGAGGCTTTCTTACCTTCAGCCATAGCTCCATATCTGCTCGTTGGAAGTCCTTCCATTCTCTTCTGGGATAAAAACAGGAAAAGAATAAAAAGTGAGTGTCCACATGGAGTTGGTAAGGTCCAAGGTCACCTCCAGTTCGGACTCCTAAGAATAATTCTCCATGGAGGAACCATTTCCATTGCTAATTTCCTAACTCACATTATGCCCTCAAAAGTCTATACATAACTTTAAGCGAACCTGGTGATGCTAACACAATGCACTGTGAACACAATGCTTGGTCCCTTTTTTTCTGTCACAGCTTACAGGAAAGCAGGAAATGTTTTAAAGCCAATCCATTGCTTATGTCCCTCCAACTAGAAAAGGCATGAAATGGAAAAAAGGATTATTTTATAGAATGAGGAGGGGAACATTATCTTATTTTATGTTTGGTATTCATAGTAGGCCAACTTTCTGGAAAAAGTACTTCCCCTCATGTCAGTCCTTGAAGGACTCATGTCCCAGATACAACCTTCTCCTTGGAAGGCGCACTGTACTTTTCCTCTTGGCCACTGGATAGCCATGTGACACAAAGCATGTTGAGCACAAGAAATTCTTCATTACTTCAAACAAGCCAATGTCATTTACAGCAAGGTAATTTTTTCTCTCTGTTCTAGCAAGTTTGTGATTAGCCCCCTGAGCAGTTGGTGGGGAGAAGGGGGTGCCATGGCCAAAGAGAAAGCATCAACACTGAGGACAAATTCAAGAAAAACTCACTTCCTGCTCAGTGTTTAATCAAATGTTTTTCCTGGCTGCTCTGAGGTCCTTGTCTCCCAGTGATCACCATTTTGTATCTCAGAAGATTTAAACAGAAATTGGCACAACCATTGGCATGAATTGGCATAAATGTTTCATTAAAATGAGGCATAATATTGTGTCACTCATTTTGGTGTTAGAAAAGGGAAGTATGTGACATACCTAAGATAAGTTTATATTTGGTTATTCAGTTTTAAATATTATGCAGTTATGAAACAAGTTTTTAAGTGAAGATATACACGAACTTATGAAACAAAAACCTATATTTGCAATGAACAAATGTAAGTTTTTTGGCATTTTTACTACAGGTATTCTGTTTGATTGAAAAGTTAACACATTACACATGAATTTCATTTATGTTTTTTGACTCTCCTGGGTTCTTTTCCCTCCCATTGTCATTCAGAGGCAACCAATATTCTGAGGATTTTATGTATCATCTCATGTGTGTATTTACCCTTCTACATACTGTTTTTTCACTTTAAACTTTTACATAAATGACATTATTTGTGTAAAATTTTTATCCAATTATCCTATCTAATAAAAGACAAACAGGGTAATTGACTGTACCTTCGCTATGCTTCCCATTGGCTAATCAGGGCAATATGCAAATTAACTGCCAAGAAAGATGGCGGTTAATTTGCATATGTAGGCACAATGATGGGAGGCAAAAGGGGAAGGACGGAAGAACGGTGATCGGAAACCCAGGAGGCAGGCAAGAGCTGGTGGCAGGGCAAAGGCGGCCCCCAGGGCCACCTTTGCCCTGCCCCCCAGCCCTGGATCGGAAAACCGGGGCCGCCTTTGCCCACCCACCAGCTGGTGATCGTGATCAGAAAGCCAGGCTGCAGGCAAGGCGGCATCCCCAGGACCCAGGAGCCTCCTTGCCTGCGGCCCTGAGCCTGATCATGATCGGAAAGCTGCGCCGCAGGCAAGGTGGCCCCCTGGAACCCAGGAGCCTGTTGGTGAAGTCTGCAGGTGAAGCAGCGATCAAGCTATGAGGGGGACAGAGTGGGGGGTGGAAGAAGCTACAGGAGCTCTTCTTGCCGGAGACTGAAGACTCCCGCTGGAGCGAGGAGCAAAGACTGACCGTTCCAGCCACAGCAAAGACTGTGTCCAGAGCAAAGATGGAAGGCGAAGGCCAGAGTGAAGGTCTGGGTCCCGGGTGCCAGAGGAAAACTGGTGCCAGCAGCCAGGGGAAGGGAAAGCCTATTGCAAGAATCTTTTCATGCAACAGGCCTCTAGTTTATTAATAAAGTTTTAAGCTGTTCCAAAATATGTTTCCTGCAAAATAATCCCCACATACTGCATATCTCTGTGCAATAATTGATGGGTGGCTTTCACCTAACTAGATATTGTCAATATGACTCAAGTCCACTATGCTAATTCTCACTGACACAAGCCATGTGTGAGAAGTCCCCAAATCTGCACCTTTACTTGGTGATATTACACTCTTAATTTTTTTATCACATTAAGGACAAACATAATGATGTCTTCAACAATTTACACTTCCATTTTACTGATTACCATTGAATTTAAAAATGGTTTTCATAGTTTGTTTGCTATTCAGGTTGCTTCTGTAATATAGAAATATTTGCACACTTTTCTATTAATTTAGTGGGATTTTTTGTCCCTCCTTAGGTAAGCCATCTATTTTCATATTTTCCTTTTTTCTTTTTTCCTTTCTTCCTCTTCTGACCCTTTCTCACTTCCTTTGCTTAAGCCCATAGAAGAGCATTTCCTCACACCTTCTTCCATAAACTATCCTTGACCCTGAGAATTTATACTCTGGATCTTGATAACCCTGCTCAAATTCTATATTTTTCTATACTACATGACCTTTTCTGAAGAAACTGAGCAACAAATGCCTGCCCAAGATCACACAATTGTCATGGAGCTACAACTGAAAAGTAGCTCCTTTTGCCGACGAATTCTTGAGTCCAGAGGAGAAAAATTAATCTAAATAAGTCCCCAGCCTCTTGTACCCCCACATACAATGTGGTTGTTCCGTGGTCAGGACAAAAACTGAGGCTGACAAGCTAAAAGCCTGCCCTGAAACAAACACAGACAATTGTACTGTAAAATATTGGGTTGATGCCTTTTCAAAATAGGTTATTCAGAGAGAAAACTGCAGGGGGCAGGAGTTGCTCTAAATTGAAGCATTTCAGGTTAAAACCATCTGGTATTTTACTGACTTGATATTATGTGTGATCCAAATGGAGCAGGGTGCCTATCATAGAAAGTCAATCAAACTCCGGTAACAGTAGCTAAGATGCAGGGTAGTAGTTCTCCTGGACCGTCTTCTGAATGTGTCAGGTGGCAGGGGAGACATGTGTCCACAGGGGAATGGGCTTTTAGGCAGAAATTAACACATAACAAAGTGTCTGGGGAGAGTGACAATGGATATTAATGAGGATGCTAAAAAGAGTCACAAAGTATTAACATGACTGTATTGATAATCGGTTTGTCTCAGTGGTTAGAGCATTGTCCCAGGGACTAAAGGGTCGTGGGTTCAGTTCAGATCAAGGGCACCTACCTCAATTGCAAGCTCAATCCCTTGTACCAGGAGGGACATGTACAGGAAGCAACCCAATTAATATGTCTCTCTCCCACCAATATTTTTCTCTCTTTGCCTCTCCCCCTCCCTTCCACTCTCTCTAAAAATCAATGGGAAAATATCCGGGGTGGGGATTAACAAAAACGAACCAAACAAGTAACAAAAAAAACAGGACTGTAAAGCTTAAGAAAAGACTGGGGGAAGCATGGCAGACCTGCAGGAATGTGGTGCATGTCAATCTTGGATCAGGCCAAAGCGGGAGGATAGAGAATGTAGGCATATTCCTCATCTAAAAGGAAAATTCCACTCATGTCCAAAATGAGAGGGTGGCAGTCAGTGTGCAAGCAGAGGTTATAACAGCGTTGGCAGGACAATAGGAGGGTCTAGTTGAGGCAGGGGGTTGAAGGAAATGAACATAATGTACCTTTGGATTTTAAAATTACATGAGCCTGGTTTTATCATGATGATATCTTTCTGTACCAAATCATGAGAAAGCAGGCTCTCTCATGCTGTTTTAGGAAAATCAAACTATATCTTGTCTGCCTTGTTCACAAATGTCTCCTTCACTCAATGCCACACTCCCCATATTTCCTGTTTTTAGAGTCTCCTGTTTTATAGTTTACTTCTTGGAATTTCTGGGTACATTTCTTACAGAAAGTTCAGCAGACAAAGGGATTGTTCCACGTGCCCTGAAGATGAGTCTGTTTGTCATACAGCTGAGTCCTACCTCTTGTTAGAAGAAGGTGTGGGCTATTTGGGGGGAAATGGAGTGGTTTGCAGAAGGACAAAATCCTAAGATAATGTGTACTCAGGGGTCTGGGACTTGGGGAACACGTGGCTCAGTGGAGGTGTCACTTAAGAAGTTAAGATGGTAAATTGAGAAAATTGTCCCTATTTAATGGGGAACCTGGGGAGGTTCAATTTTCCCATCTGTATAATGGGATGAGAATATTCATTCAGCTTCATTAAACCCTGCGAATCCCCATGAAGATCCAATGGGTTAAGCATAGTCAATTAGCTAGAAAGCCAGGAATGCTTTGGAATGTGCTGGGGTGTGGGCACAGAGTGAATGTTTCCCACATCTGTTTCCCCACTGTCAACCCTCTGTTGCTCCTAGCACCACCATCATCATTCCCTTTCACTGAGGGATAAGCCCAGAAGTTGAGAAACTAGAAGTTGAAATCACACCAGCAATGAGTGGCTGTCATTAAGGCATGGGCTCTCACACCTCCAAGGCACTGGAATCCATCCCAGTATCTCCTTACCTGACTCGGAGCTGCAGAAGCTGTGTTCTGTGGCCCTGCTAATGTGATCCCAGGTCTCAGGAAGGTGCGTGGGGCAGACGCATAGGAAGCCAGGCCCTTACAGTTACACAGGAGCTCCCTGGAGGCCGAATGTTCCAGGGCGAGACTGCTGGGAAGGAAGAAGAAAGGGGATTGCTAAACGCTCTCCCCCAGACCCCCACAATAGAGACAGGTCCTTGGAGTGGGTGGCCAAACAGTATTTAGAGACCAGAGGGCTGGGGCTGTGTGTTGTGTCCCCTTAATCTGACGCTTCCTGTCAGAGCCTGCCAGCTGCCAGGCCACCTCCCATTTCCTTTTTATGACTTGTTAAAATAAGCAATATGTGGAGGCAGAGGCTATGCAGGCAGTGACAGACCTTTAACTCCACCATATTCAGAAACAGCCCCTGTGACATAGAAAAGTTCCTATGGGCCACTAGCCCCCCAAACCCTACCCCCCACCCCATCCCAGCACCCATCGCAGGAGCACCTGCCAAGCCTTACTCCCCAAGGCCCTTCTCAAGGCTCTGCTTCTAGAATGTTCCTACTTGAGACAGACAAGCACTACTGATCCAAGGAGGACCTGGAAGACCAACTCTAAGAACTTGACATTGATGGATTCCCCAACCCCAGGTGCTGGTTGCCTTCTCTCTGCCATTGGACAGAGCAGCCCTGTGGAACTTATAAGGACTGGAGCATTTTGTATGGGTTTATTCTGGTGGCAACCAGGAGCAGGGCTATTGTTCCCCTATTCGTCAACTGACCGCACATTTAAGGCTGGAGCAGTAAACATAGAACAATTACCTTGCAACGTGAGATGGAGAACACAATATGGGCTTAGGCTCCCACATTCTGTTGGTCAATTCCAATAGCTTTATTTGGTATATATGCGGATCAAGAAAGCTCTTCTTATAGGTACTGTTTTATACTGATTATTAAACAAGAAATTGATTTATAGTATCAAATCACCCAATATACATAAGTGAGGACAGAGGGCCTAACCTTGAATTCAGGGGGGAAAAGTCCTTTAAGGCACAGCCTGAAAGAACACTTTACTAGATGGAATGGTGGATTGCAGCTGTTTTATAATAAGAAGACGCCAGTGCTAGAAAATTCAGACAATGGTCAGAAGTCTGTAAGTAGGATCCTCATATATATAGAGGGCTATGGGGAAGTCAACATAATCGTTCATTTTCTACACGTTTTCTGATCCCATTTTACATGCCGGGCACTGTGTTATCTAATGGGGACAAAGATGGAAAGGTCAGAATCAAAGTTTCTGAAAAAGAAAATCACTGAAGAAATGCTATTGACCATGAGGAGAAACTGTTAAACATTCTCTAAGAATAAATGCTTCAAATTTTTGAGAGCACAATTTGAGAATCAGGTTGGGGATGCCATGTGACATTTAGCCCCTCTCTTTGAGTTTATATAAACACCTGCCATCATCATTATAACATTTTCACAGAGTCTTCTTCCCAAGACAACTGACAAACAACTGGGTATTTCATGCCACTCTTTGTGCAATTGCCATCCCATTATGGCAGCTCTCTGAGGTCTTTCTATAAGTAAGCAAATGCCAAAATATTTTTTTATTTTTAAATCTTTATTGTTGAAAGTATTATGTCCCCCTTTTCCCCCCATTGATCCCCTCCAACCTGCCCTCACCTCTAGCCCGAGGCCTTCCTACCCTATTGTCTATGTTCATGGGTTATAGCAAATGCCAAAATATTGAAAAACTCAATAATTTAAACAGACAGGTCATGTGGTCATCTAAAAAGACATGAGCTCTCCAGAGCTAAAGTTCTAGTAAACTTAGTCCTGATTATTTGGAGATTTTTTATTGTTTGGAGATTTTAAAAATCTTATTCTTCAAAGGAGCTTATTCACAATAGAATGTGATCTCTGAGGCCCAGACATTTTTTAGACCTAACACAGAATCTTAGTCAAACTGAGATCTGAGAAGGAACATTGAGGAAGATTCAATTCAAAATTGTCTTGGGCCCTGGCCAGTGTTTCTGAAGGCCCGTGCACTGAAGGGTCTCGGATTGATTCCAGGTCAGGGGTACGTACCTGGGTTGCAGGTTTGATCACTCACCAATGCCAGGGCTCCTGTGGGAGGCAACCAATCGATGTGTCTTTCTCATATTGATGTCTCTCTCTTCTCTCTCACCTCCTTCCATCCCTTCCACTTTTTCTAAAGAAACCAATGGAAAAAATATCTTCAGGTGAGGATTAACAGTTAATTCAGCATGGCCATGTTCACAACATTATACTCTCATTAGCTCCATCAGAAAGTGTCATAATTTTAAAACTATAAAATATTTTAAACTATGCCAATTCCTTTTGGAACTGATCAAAGTAGTTTATTTTGTCTTTGCAGAATGATGTAGTCACAAATAATTAAGTTATGATATTCGAGGACATATATGTAGTATAAAATGGATAAACAGGTGAGTAAAGAAGCAGCTTAAATTGGATGGAAAGCCTGGATTGGTGAAAATGCCAGAAGGGCCAGTAAGGAAAATAAGTTCCAATTCTGATTTTTGTCTCTGTTTGTCCTTAGGAAATTTCTTAACTCTCAGTAGGTTATTTTCCTCTTTAAATCAAAGGAAGTTCATGAGAATTATCCCTCATAGTTCATGAGGTTATTTTCATCATAAAATATTAAGAACCATCTATTCCCCCAAGGTCAGCCCCTCCCTGAGCCTCTCAGGTAATCAATGGAACCCCTTCCAGGCTCGGAGCTCCTGAATGAACCCAGCATAGCTGCTGAGGATGCTAAAAGCAGGATTTAATAGTGGACTTTTTTGCAGCCATGCTTCACAGAGCCCCTCACTGTTGCAGCCAGCATGCCCCTAAGGTTCCCTACCCTTGGTCCCTCATTGCAGCCCACCCAACCAGATAGCCCAACTTGGGCCTTCCTGGGCCCTTAACCACTTGGGGCATTGAAGTGCAGTGTAAAGGTGGGTCCTGTGCATGGCTAAGATAAAGAAATGCCTTTCTTTAAAATCCTCTCCCACATTCAGAATAGAAATAAGGAAAGCCTTATTTATTTACTTGGTTGGTTGGTTGTTTGGTTGGTTGATTCTTTTTTTTTTATTGCTTAAAGTATTACAAAGGGTATTACATATGTGTCCTTTTTTCCCCCGCCCTTGACAATCCCCTGGCCTCCCCTACCCCCCAGTGTCTTATGTCCATTGGTTATGCTTATATGCATGCATACAAGTCCTTCGGTTGATCTCTTACCCCCTTCCCTCCTGCCCCCCAACCCTCCCCGGCCTTCCCGCTGCAGTTTGACAATCTGTTTGAGGCAGCTCTGCCTCTGTATCTATTATTGTTCAAAAGTTTATAATGGTCTCTATTATCCATGAATGTGTGAGATCATGTGGTATTTTTCCTTCATTGACTGGCTTATTTCACTTAGCATAATGCTCTCCAGTTCCATCCATGCCATTGCAAATGGTAAGAGTTCCTTCTTTTTTACAGCAGCATAGTATTCCATCGTGTAGATGTACCACAGTTTTCTAATCCATTCATCTACTGATGGGCACTTAGGCTGTTTCCAAATCTTAGCTATGGTGAATTGTGCTGCTATGAACATAGGGGTGCATATATCCTTTCTGATTGGTGTTTTTGGTTTCTTGGGATATATTCCTAGAAGTGGGATCACAGGGTCAAATGGGAGTTCCATTTCCAGTTTTTTGAGGAAACTCCATACTGTCTTCCATAGTGGCTGCACCAGTCTGCATTCCCACCAGCAGTGCACAAGTGTTCCTTTTTCTCCACATCCTCTCCAGCACTTGTCGTTTGTTGATTTGTTGATGATAGCCAGTCTGACAGGTGTGAGATGGTACCTCATTGTTGTTTTGATTTGCATCTCTCGGATGATTAGTGACTTTGAGCATGTTTTCATATGTCTCTTGGCTTTCTGAATGTCCTCTTTTGAAAGGTGTCTATTTAGGTCCTTTGCCCATTTTTTGATTGGATTGTTTATCTTCCTTTTGTTAAGTTGTATGAGTTCCCTATAAATGTTGGAGATTAGGCCCTTATCAGATATAATGTTGGCAAATATGTTCTCCCATGTAGTGGGCTTTCTTGTTGTTTTGTTGATGGTTTCTTTTGCTGTGCAGAAACTTTTTATTTTGATGTAGTCCCATTTGTTTATTTTCTCTTTAGTTTCCAATGCCCTCGGATCTGTATCGGTGAAGAAATTGCTTCGGCATAGGTCTGAGATTTTGTTGCCTTTGGATTCTTCTAGTATTTTTATGGTTTCCGGTCGTATATTTAAGTCCTTTATCCATTTTGAGTTTATTTTTGTGTATGGTGTAAGTTGGTGGTCTAGTTTCATTTTCTTGCATGTATCTGTCCAATTTTCCCAGCACCATTTATTGAAGAGACTGTCTTGACTCCATTGTATGTTCTTGCCTCCTTTGTCAAATATTAATTGAGCGTATTGGTTGGGGCTGATTTCTGGGCTCTCTATTCTATTCCATTGATCTATATGTCTGTTCTTGTGCCAGTACCAGGCAGTTTTGAGAACAGTGGCTTTGTAATACAGCTTGATATCTGGTATTGAGATCCCACCTACTTTCTTCTTTCTCAGAATCGCTGCAGCTATTCGGGGTCTTTTTTTATTCCAGATGAATTTTTGGAGAGTTCGTTCTAGGTCTGTGAAATATGCCGTTGGTATTTTAATGGGAAGTGCGTTGAATTTATAGATTGCTTTGGGCAGTATGGACATTTTAATGATGTTGATTCTACCAATCCAAGAACATGGTATGTTCTTCCATCTCTTTATGTCTTCCTCTATCTCTTTTTTCAACGTCCTGTAGTTTTCTGAGTAGAGGTCTTTTACCTCTTTAGTTAAGTTTATTCCTAGGTAGCTTAATTTTTTTGGTGAGATGGTAAATGGGATTGCTTTTTTAGTCTCTCTTTCTGCAAGTTCACTATTGGTGTATAGAAATGCCATAGATTTCTTGGCGTTAATTCTGTATCCTGCTACATTGCCGAATTCTTTTATTAAGTCTAATAGTTTTTTGATGGAGTCTTTAGGGTTTTTTAAGTATAATATCATGTCATCTGCAAATAAGGACAGTTTTACTTCCTCTTTTCCAATTTGGATGCCTTTTATTTCTTCTTCTTGTCTAATTGCAATGGCTAATACTTCCAGTACTATGTCGAACAGGAGTGGTGAGAGTGGGCATCCCTGTCTTGTTCCTGTTTTTAGGGGAAATGGTGTTAGTTTTTGTCCATTGAGTATGATGTTG